GATCAAGAGTAACTGGAACTCTAAATACAAATAAATCTCAACTGTATCAGAGAACAAGGCTTATTGGTGAGTACACACAATCAGGAAGGCGGGAGGAACAAAGTGAGAGTGAAGGGGGGAAGGGTGGAAAGAGAAAAGAGAAGGGGGGGGGGGAAGCTAGGCGGAGCTGTTATGGGGGCCCTTGTTCACATTTATCACCCATAATGAAGATGGGTGAGGGGCCTTTGCAGTACCCAACACCTCTGCCATGAGGGACCCTACACACACCTTTAATGAGCCTCAAGACACCGAACAAGCATGGGCGGCACCCACGATCTGTCCAAACACATGTACACCAGCGGGGTATGCCATTAAATTACCAAAAATGATCATAATTCAATTTGTGGTATGATGCAAGTGCAATTATTAGTAAGAAGCATGCAAATTGTGTCAAAGCCTTCATTCAGATGTGCCGCAGGAGAAGCAGATTAGTTGACCCAGAGCGCCATCTTTAGATTAAATATGTCGTTCATAATTCTTCGTTTGTCTTTGAAAGCCATGACTTACTCAAAGACATCATAAAATAAATGTCATAAAATCAATGTTTTCTTCAGAAGGATTTTTATGATAGACTATGCTAAGACTGTGATAGTGAAGAAAATCATTCAAATGTTTACAATGAACGTACAATACTTGACGTTGCAGATCCAAGGTGGAATTGTACACAATTGCATAAAACAGCCGCAGAACAAAGGAATAAGCATCACGAATGGAAATGGGAGATTGTAACTCGTTGCCTGTTGGCTCCAGACATCACACAGAAATAGCTGCTGAGCCAGTAGGTGTGGTGCCATGGCAACTGGGGCTCAGGTTTGATGTCACAACGAATCACCATAGCAACCTGTCACAGCATGAGGTCAGTGTTGCCATGGAGACACACCAACTGAGCAATGGGCTTGCCGTCTTTTTAGCAGTGTGTGTGTGTAAAGAAGGGAGGGTGCAAACAAGCCATGTTAAAAAATGCACCGCCGCAGCCAGCTCATTCCCCCAATTAACATTCAGCTTATTCACGCAGGTGTTTCACTGTTCTTGCCCAGTGGAGTGAATCACATTCTTAAAATCTTGATGAACAAACAAAATGTTGGAATTTACATATAAATGCATCCTTCCAAACAATTTGAACCACTTAAAGGGGTCATGAACCGATTCTACATCGCTGTCTGTTTAGCCCCGCCCACTGGTTCAACATTACTGCCTGTTTAGCCCAGCCCACTGATTGTACATCCCTGCCGGTTTAGCCCCGCCCACCAATTCTACATCACTGCCTGTTTAACCCCGCCCACCGATTCGAGCATGTAGTCTATAGGTGTGTTTGACTTCATGCAGTGCTGTGCAGACTGAATGGTGAAAGTAGCCGCTTGCAGTCGGGGGCGGAATTGAAAGCGGAGACGTCAAGTCGGACACTTTCTGCTCCCGGTAGTGACGCTCTTGCGGTGTTTGCATACTCTAATATTGTCAAATACACAGACGTTTCATAAACGTTTTCATGAGCAACAGAAACACTTTTTATATACTGCTTGATACAGCGCCATTTGTTCAAGAATAAAGTTCAACATAAACATATGCTATTTAAATACCAATAAAGTAGGGGTATATATGCTTTTATAAGTGTTTTTTTTATAAACGTGACTCAAAATAACATTGCGACTACAGTAAAAAAGCTTTTACTGTTCTAAAAACAGATTTGTGAGCAGTATTGGAATTGAAGATGTTAGAAACACACGTCATTGTTGTCATGTGGTGAATTTGGCCAATCGTGAAACAGCTGTGTCATCATCAGTGCTCCTGCAGTCTCTCTGAAAAAGCTGCGCCAGCTGAGTCAGCCGGCTGATCTCAAAACGCTATCGCGGTACTTTGATACCACACGTGACATTGACGTGGCGTCGGCGGTAGTTCAAGTCGGACAAAATTTCTAACCGGCATGCACTGCTTCAAGTCAGCCGCCGATCGGTCTGCGCAGCGCCGCATGAAGTCGAACGCACTATAGAATACCCTTAAAAGGACTTTGATGTAGTGTAAATAACGAGAACTGTTTTATTACGTGGTCACGATTGCTTTGTTTGTTATTACAGATTGTTTGATATGTACTGAGTATTTATGCGTTTTAACCTAAATCACAGCAGCGTCCATCTATGAAGGATGTAGGCTGTCAAACATACACATCAGCTGGCCAGTCATAGCAGTGGGCGTTTACTTGCAAGTTTACAATCCGCCACGGCTATAAGAGCGTTCTAATGAGGGTGGTCAAAACAGGACAGAAAAAAGCCTATTACTTCTAAATTATGATGCTTTTTGATGTAAATATCTTGATAACATTATAAGTGGACCTCAGAGAACAGTAAAAACTAAAAAACAAAGGCAGTTTACGACCTCTGTAAACTGTATTTCAACCATCCAACAATGTTTAATTGGACAATTTCCACTCAGAACCTAGAAGTCTTGGTCTAAAAACATTGTTGTTGGGTTTTGAAGACTGGAGCATTGGGGAGGGTCGTGTTTGTGTTTCTCTCTCAGAAGCCTACAGCCCACCTTCATGAATAAGCATGTGGCGCAAAACCCCCTCTCCTTCAACAGAGCTTTTCAATAGAGGGACATTGTGTAGGGGCCCATTAAGGATGAATACCAGCTTTAAAGCCTGAAGCAACACACGTGTGGTGTCACGCTTAACCCAGCTGTGTGTTAAGAAAACTACAGGAACAGACTTGACTTGAGCCGGAGCTCAAACGTTTGTAGTTTTATTTAGCAAACAATCTCAACAGCTGAATGTAATGTGAGACCATGTAGGGTAGTACTGGGTGTTGGGTGCCACCTAGTGGGGCCCTTTAGCAAATCTGATACTGATAGGCTGTAGTTGCATCCACACACGTACACAAAGGGCTTAATATGATCTAATTATATTGAGACAGCACAGAGTCATATAAGAGCTTTAACACAACCCCTGATTATCCACTGAAACATGCAGGCAGTCAGCGACTTCTCAGTTCTCATCTGCTTATCATGTTTACCTGCAAAAATCTTACTCTGAGGTCAGGTTAAACTGTATATAAAAGTTAAAAAGACAAATGAATACCTTCATTTATTTATAATAAATTGATTACATTTAACCACTTATTTTAGAAGCCAGATCCTAACAAAAATATACATACAGAATATAGAATTTCATAATAATATAAAGGGATGTAAACAAAATATCAGGCTGCAGCTGTTGAACTTCATGATGTTCCTGTTTTTTGGTTCAGGTTTTCTTTGAATTTTTTATGCAATCTTTGCTCTATCAACACCCTAGTAATTATATAATAATTACTCATAAAGCTATAATAAAGCTGCTCAAACTGACTGCACCTGCATCTACTGACACTTAAAGACTCAAATCTGTCCCAGTGTCTTGGATTTTGTGCACAGCCTTGGCCTACAAATGTTTCACACTTGTATGTATATCCACCCAATGCACCACCCAGTTCTATATTATATTCTTCTGGAGAAATCATACAGACCCTCTGAACAACACATGGAACCTTACTTTTAGGTACTTTATGTAATATATAATCATCATCTACACCATATCACATATCGTAGAGACAAGTCCCATCTGACCACTGAATGACTGCCTATATGATGTTTTTGTCTTTATTCCTTTTTGATATTACATATTGAAAACTGTGCCTATGCTAAGCTTAACAAGCTAAGCTTTTTCTTTTAAGCCAAATTGAATATATTAATCTTAGCTTTATTTAAATTCTACATTTTTAAATATGTGTATAATTTATGTATTTGTAGATCTATATTTGAATATAAAGTTGTTTTGAATTTCAACAGTGATTTAAATGAACTACTTAAAAAGACTTGCATATTTCAGCTGTTTTTAATCCAGCAATTGTGAAGAAAAACAAAAATGCTCTTGAATTTGTACACTGTGCCAATGCAAGCAAGCATGACAAGAATAAGATTGCATTAAACTGCTGCACATACTGCATTAAACATTATGCTGAAGTTAAATGAACACTTTGCAAAATATTTATTTCATTATTTTAAAAAGTGTGCCTTTTCAGTTGACAAGGGTATTTGTAAATTTTGGAACTGAAATGAGGGAAGTGGACACCTAAAGTAAACAGCCAAGAAGTCAGAGTTAATAGTCAATGCTGAGAGCCAAACATCAGCCTGATTAATCGGCTACATGGCCAATAAACTTAGAGCAAGACAACCATATTTATCTATTTGTAGAAGAAACTTCCTAAGAGATTAAGCAAGAATTTATTATGTAACTTTTTCTTGTTAAAACAGTAACATGTATTTGGCTATGCAGTCTGACAAAGGCTCAGCATCTGTTCACTGGTGCCTTTCAAAGAATGCAAATACACAGTAGCCAATCGGAGAACCAAACAAGCCCCACTCTACTTTACTGAGTTCTGTCAGGACCACTATCGTCAAAGATGATTGACAATTAGCATACAGTTTGGATTGGCGGTATGGTTCTGTTCTGGGCAAGAACTCCCTGCGCATCCATGCAGCCTAGCATGGATGAGAGCAGGGAGAGCAGCGAAAACCCCCCCAGGGTAAACAGAACAGAACCAACATAAATGTATTGCAGATATTGTTAAAGTTCAATAATTTTATGTACACATTTTAGAATTAGTCTGATTCAAAGGAGAGTCAGAAGGCTGAATCCTGACTGACAGAGGAGGAGTTGGGGATGGAGGAGGGTAATTAGCTATTGAGCAATGCGAAAACTGCTGATAATACTGAGGGACCTTATATATGAATTCTTAGATAAGTGTCGTATTCCTATAGGTAGATGGGGATCAGCTGAGAGTCAGCTGATGCGAGCTTGACTAACGTGACCTGCCAGAACTAATGCTACGCTTGATTTTTGGGGGAGGAAAGAGGCAGTTCAAAGGTTAAACAGAGATGTAGACTGAGCAGGATTAGACTGCTAAAGTAACCAGAACCAGGTGGTGGAGTGATGCTTTTATGCGGCAGGCCAGTTTAATACCAAAAAACGTTTCATACTTACAACTGAAAACACATTTTTAGGATTAAAATATTCCAGGTTAATCCAAACACAAGGCAATTGTCCAACATGAAGCCTTTATGAACTTCAACTGATTGGAAATAGCAAAGTTTTTATTAGCTGTCATTTCGAGTCACATATTGTAAACAATTATACAAAGAAATAAATAATTCCTAAGAAAATGGATGGATTTATTTTTCTCAACCAACCTTGAGCTCATCTAATGTATCATTTATAGACACATTTCCTGTTACAACAATCACCGTCGAAAAGAATGATCTGATCTGGTACAGTACACTGTAGCCTTCATTCATTGTGCTGAAGATGAACACAAAACTGCTTGATAACCAGCAAATTGTGGAGTCAAATTTAATTAACGAACCAGGACTACACCATTAGATATTTAATGAGTCTTCTCCGGAATGACATAATAATTTGTGACTCAATCAGAAAATGCCATCTCAAAGGACACATACGGTTACTTGTAATATAACCTCTGACAACTGGAATGAGAGTGGCTTCTGAATGGGTTACTTCTTTCCGAGAGACAATCTGCAATACAAAAAGAAGATTTTGTCAACATCAACTATATTTTTACCCAATGTAATTACAATGTAATTGTAATGAAATCACAAAAATGCACTTTTTCATTTTGAGGAGGCATACAGTTCTTACTTGTTAAAAGAGTCGTCCTGTAGATTCAGAACCAAACTATCTGCGCTCAGGTAAACCCTGTTCTGTGAAGCCGCCACCTGGAAAACAACCTTATTCTGGTCAGGGCTTTGAGAAAGGACATCAAAACATTCAGCTTTTTCCAAAAGGAATTGAATAAATGTTAAGCCAAAAAAATGCCATCCAAGACCGGCTGAACTTTGGCAGAACTGCTAGTGAACATCAAATATTTACAACACACCTTTTTCCAAAGCGCACGGTTTACATAAGGAAAACTCCTTAAAAATTCAGAATAAATGAAATCAAGTGAGTAATAACATCGTACCGTTTTGGCGATGTTCTGCGCTGCTCTGATTCTTCTGAGTTTAAGGTATCCCGGGTTCTTTGTGACGGCCTCCCCTAACTGTGAATTAGACCAGATCAAACTAAAGTTCTCATATTTATAGAGAAAATAATTCTCATATTATAAAATTTTCTCACATGAATAATATTTACATGATATAATACTATTCTAATATAATAATTATAATTATAACAACAGTAAATACAATAATAATATGATATAATAAACAAAATAAGAACATTAAAAATAACATATTTAAAATACCCATGACATTTGGACTTGTGAGTGTTTGGCAAAAGTAAGTATTTTTAGGTAAGAAGCTCAAACCTTTTGGCTGCCTGGGCCTCTCCTTCAGCTTGGATGATTTTCTGCCTCTGTTCTTGTTTTGCTTTCTCCACAAAGAACTGAGCTCTTTGCGCCTCCTGCTGGGCTGGAAGACCATAAACACTTTTTATTACAGTAATTATGCCCACATATATTGTGCTACAGCACACAAGAGCCTAATTTTACCTACCAACTTGTTTGGCCTCCACAGCTGCTGTGTACTCCTTGCTGAAGCTCAACTCTGTGATGGCCACGTCGTCGAGAATAATGTTGAAGTCCTTAGCGCGTTCAAAGAGCTCCCGTCGGATGAGCAGAGAGACCTGCATGAAATCAGTGGAGAAGATAGTGAAGCAGTGGCGGTTCGTGGGTTTTAAAATAGAGGAGGCACACTAATTGTAACGTTATTGGTCTGGGATCCCTGCCGATTATTATTATTATATTATTTGCTTAACCACTTTAAAATGGCTTTTTGGTTGCTTTTAGTCAGAAAACGTAAAGAAAACGAAATGCATACAGCAAGATAATATAACTTCACTTACCTGGCCTATCACTTGAAGCAAACATCCATCCCTTCTTAAAAGTCTTGTGTTAAAAGAGAGCTGACTGTTGCGCCATTTAATTAAGCCGACTGCTGTAGCCTATATCCAGCTTAGGCTGTTTTCCCTAAATTTGTATATATACTG